AAACCCCCCCCCCCCGCCATTCTCCAGGGTCTGGCTTCTTGCAACACGCGTGCGCACACAACGAGTTTGGATTGTGTTAACCGAGGGGAGGGCGGCGTGTTGGGTAACCCCCGACCGTTTATGGGTCAGAGTAGTACGTGGAATCATGCGGTCACCATGTGAAGCGTTGTGCGAGTCCAACCAGAGAAAGGGGCGTCCCGTTCACACACTGCGCGCGTGACAACTGGTTCCTTCCTTTTCAAAATCCCCCTAATTCAGCCCCAGCAAGAAGGTTTTGAACCCCCCCCCCCCTTATATTATGGGTAGGAACCCCCTCAACTTTATTTCAACCTGTTTTTGTTCTTGTTAAATTGTAAGTGACTCTGGAGACCTTTATGAGAGACCTTTATGAGAGCCAAATGATGGGTTCTAGGCATCGGTTAGCAGTAATCATTGGATAATATACTACATTAATATTTCAGTATATCAAATGCTGTGCAAAGTAACCTGCAATAGTACATTTTTCTTCTTCCTGCCTCCACTTGCAATCCATTGGATAATTCTTTCCCAGTATGATTTACTAAGAAGAAGCAAAAGACTGGTGTAAATTGTATTAAGCCATTCCCCCTCCATTTACCTGCCTCTTCCTGTCATCTGTGAAGCCCATTGGCTTCCTCCCTGCACATGAATTGGCTCTTCCCCAATTATTTTATTTAACATATGCCATCATCTGCAACCAAAGCCCCTCTGGATTCTATGTAGGGCAGATAGGCCAGACTTGGCACAAAAGAATTAGTGGACACAAGTTTGATATCAGGAGATATCAAACAGGGACATAGTAAAAGCAGAACATTTTAACTTCCCAGGGTATTTCATCACAGATCTCATTGAGTGGGAGACAGCTGAGCTTACATACATCAAAATGTTTCAGGCTATCTCAGAAGGATTTAGCAAACAGAATAGGGCTTTTAACACATTACAGCTGTTAATAAGGTACCTGTAATCTGACCTCCACGGAACATTCATCTGCAAAATTACCTTGTCTTCCCCTCCCTTGCCTCATCCCAATGTATTTAAATTCCACGTGAATCGAATCACTTTGTAGTGAGCTTCTACCCACGAAAGCTTATACTTTAAATAAAATTGTCAGTTTCAAAAAGTGCTACCAGACTCTGAATTTTATTTAACAGGGAGATCCATTACAAGTTTCACATGACCACGGAGCTTACTGGATGATTTTGGATTAGTCATCATTGCTGTGACCATGTATATGCCTCATATGGTCATTGTGAGGAAAAAGGAGAGGAAAGACCACATGTGTTGCCTTGGGCTCTCAGGGAGAAGGTGGTGTATAAAAGTAATAAATAAAAATCTGTATCAGAACTTTCCCCTGCCCTTTACACCCCATATCCTGATAATTCACAGCCACCCACACCAAGTCTCTTTCAAATGAATGTTTCAACCATCTAATGCCCTTAGGCACTACACAACTTTTCTGTTTCTATGCACCTTTCTAATTATCTAGAACAGTCTGCCCCAGCCTGGTGCTTCCAGATCTGTCATCCCATGCTGGTGGAAATGATGGCAGTTCTAACATATGTGGAAGAAACTAGGTTGGGGAAAAATCAGAGCATAGGTCTCACTCAAAATCTTCCTTACATCATTCATAAGGTGGGGAAACCTTTGGCCCTTCAGATGTTACTGTACTACAACTCTAGCATGGTAAATTGTAAGGCGCCTGGGAGTTGTAATTCAGCAACACTTGGAAGGCTGCAGGTTCACTGCTCTTGGACTGATATTAATTCTTTATTCCTGCAAGGTAACTTAGCATTCTACTATTTTAGTAGGATCTAAAACAATGTAATATCCAGCCATATGCCTCCTGGTTTTTATCTCTTGAAAATTAGAAGAAAACTCTGACAGTCTGTTTGTTAAAAAGATGGATGAGTGATTATGTATGATTATTTCTCTTTATAAAGCTTTGTCAGTAGCCATTGTCAAAAACAAAATAAACAAAAACATATTTCAGGATTCTAAAGGCAACCATGTAGGAACCAATGTCATGTGCACAGGATGGGAATATTAGAAATATCCGGGATTTTTTAGCCTTGAGAGAGAGTTGCTACTAGGGTGTAAAGAAGAACATATACTTCTATGTTCTTTTATTCGCCATGCTTTAAAAACAATAATGGAAACATAATCCACACTGGGATTATCCACAATGCACCCAAGGTACCAACCAAAACAACTGGAGAAGGCCTAAACCATTCCTAATTGGAAACAATGAATCATCAAACCCCAAAGTAAGGTTAATGTGAATAGGTTGCCCACGTATAGTATACAAGACATGCAGTTACACCATTAGGGAATGACAGAGGCTAGTGTTTGGTAACAAAGGCTAGATAAAAAATTTCTGATTGAGCCACTAAATCCAGAGTGTAAAAGAGACTATGAAAAGGTGTTCTGGTATGCATTGTTTATACTTTGTTAAGGAGTATATATGATAAAGATGTACAAGCAATTCAAACGTCCTTGAGATGTTCTAGTTTCCTAGGAAACAGGCTTTTCTCACAAACCAAGCAATGCGGCCCTGGAACCCTTGGTCATGCATATTATATGATTTACCTCTAGCCAATTAAGTCTAACCATTTGTGACATGAATTAGGAAGCAAAAATGATACTTTAATAGTATGAGATAACTATTGATGGCTGTACCGATATTAATGTCCCATGCATAGAACATAGCGAATATATGTTAGAACATGGGTTAGAGCCACTATTAAGACCTGCCTTGTGGCAGTAAGGGTGGTGAAGCATCAGTATTTCTCTGCCCTTATTGCGTCTGTGGATAGCTGTCCCACGGCCCTGTTTTGGTGACAGGTGCCCTCTTGGGTAAAGGGGGCTCGGAGAATCCCTTGCAGGGGTGTGCAGAAGAATTCACTCGCAGTTGTTGCAGGTCCAGGGGACATGCCTGGGGAGGAGCCTTGCCTGGTTATCTGGGAACAGTTTGAACCTGTTCGGCCTGAGGAAATGGAGAGGGTCCTTCGGCTTGTGCGTTCAGCTACCTGCTCTTTAGATCCATGCCCCTCCTGACTTATTAAAGCAGCCCAGGGGGTGTCGTGTGAGCGGGTTCTAGTGGTGGTGAATTCTTCTTTGAGTGAGGGGGTTGTTCCTTTGCCTCTTAAGGAGAACTTGATTCGCCCCCTTTTCAAGAAGCCATCTCTGGACCCCACTATACTGGACAATTTTTGTCCAGTATCTAACCTCCCCTTTTTGGTGGTTGAGAAGATGGTTGTACAACAGCTTCAGAGGACCTTGGATGAAGTGGATTATCTGGATCTCTTTCAGTCATGATTCAGACCCATAAATGGGACAGAAACTGCATTGGTCACGCTTTTGGGTGATCTCTGGTGAGGGTGGGATGGGGGTTGTTCATCTAGCCTTGCTCTACTTGACCTCTGCAGCTTTCAATACCATTGACCGTGATATTCTTCTGGATCGGCTCAGAGGATTGGGAGTGGGCAGCACTGTGTTATGCTGGTTTGCCTCCTTTCTCTGGGGTCTTCCAGTCGGTGGTGATTGTGAGGGGAGACATCCCGCCCTCAGCCCCTACTGTGTGGCATGCCGTAGGATCTGGTGCTCTCTCCACTCCTCCTGAACATTTACATGGGACCACTGGGTGAGCTCATTTGTCGCCATGAGGCAAGGTATACATCCAGTGCCATGGGCGTCTTATCCCAGTACCTGGAGGCTGTGAGGGCCTGGATGGGGAACTGGCTTCAGCCGAACCTTGGCGAGGCTGAGTGGCTCTGGGTTTTGGGGCCTGCCATTTCTAGGACTGTGCCATCTTTGGTGTTGGATGGGGTTGCATTGCCCCACGCAGACCCGGTGCACAACTTGGGGGGACTCAGGACTCCTGCTCAAAGAGCAGGTGGCAGTTGTGGCTAGGAGGGCGTTTGCACAGCTTCACATTGTGCGACAGTGGTGCCCATTCTTAGATCGGGGGGATGCTGCTCACAGTCACTCATACCCTAGTCACTTCCCAATTGGACAACTGTAATGCCCTTTACATGGGATTGATACACACACACATACGCACACACATATATACATATATACATACACACGAAAGAAGATAAAAACTAATAGAAACTAATATAGAGTAAGAAAAAAAAAGAAATCACAGAAAGAGCTAAAAGTGCAAAAGCAAAGAAAGAAAAAAGATACGAAGAAGTAGCTTCCAATCTCCTTCACAGCAGTTATAAGTACAATTATAAATTTACCGCTTGCTGTATGGTCACAGCGTAGCTCTCTTTTTTCTAATCATCAGAACTATGGGGCTGTCCTTGTAGAGTATCTGGAAGCTTCTGCAGGTGCAAAATTCAGCTGCGCAGGCAGTTACGTGTGCCTCCAGCACAGCACGTGTTACACCTCTGCTCCGCGAGCTGCACTGGTTGCCAGTCTGCTTCCAGGTCCAATTCAGGGTGCTGGTTTTGACCTTCAAAGCCCTTCATGGCATGGGCTTTGGGGCTGGGTTATTTCGGGGACCGCCTCTCCTTGATTATATCTGCCTGACCCCTCAGATTTGGCAGAAGAGGCATGCTTCAGGTCCTGTCTGCTAGGGAACTATACTTGGTGGGTCTCAGGAGGTGGGTCTTCTCTGCCAGGGCACCCACTTTATGAAACATCCTGCTCCCCACCCCCAAAGTGAGGCTGGCTTGGTTATGCCTCAGGCCTGGGGGCCCCAGGAAACTGGCAAGGTACTGAGGTGGCTCCATTGTTGTCAACATCTGCTGCCCTCACTTAGCCTTTGTGATTTTTAATTTTTTTTCTGAATAATAATTGTTTTTTATATGTTAACTGTTTTATAGTTTTATTGTATACCACCCAGAGTCACTTTTTTATGAGATGGGTGGCTATATAAATTTGATGAATAAATAAATAAATAAAAATAAAATATTGTGTATTACAGTGCTACTACATTTATTTGATTAAATTGAGTACAGTATGTCTGTTTCCAACTAAAACATTTCAGTCACCAAATGACATACTTAAAGAATAATACCTTCCACAAGACTTGTGGAAGATAAGGATTTGTGCACTCCAAGTTACAAAGTGTGGAAAATGAGAGAGAATACTTTTTTCAAGATAACCAGGATTTTCACTTGGAAGTTTATAGAGGTAGTTCTATGCTTAATCTTCACTTTTTTTAAACCTTGTTGTACCATCTTATTGAAACAGATGGTGTTGTGTTCTGTAAATTTGGACTGTGGGATATAACTAGGTATTGTGAGTTGGGCTACAAGCTTTAACCACCTTTGCACAATTAACCCCCCTGTTATTCATCAGGGAAGCAGAAAGATTCTTGAATAGCAGATTTTCTGATTCAGTATTTGCTGCACCAAATTTCTTAAAAAGGAAGCATAAAGTTTTATTTCTTCTGACTTGTTTTGGGAAGTCCCAGTTCCTCCACAGTGGAAATCATTATTTCAGTGTCACTTGTGCAGAATTATTTCTAGGGATATGTTGCCTGATGGCAGATGTAGTTGTTATTCTTAGGCTATGCTTGCACAATAAATGTAATTTGATTAATTCGTTAACTGTTTTCTGGGTTTTTATGACATCATCCACTAACAAATGGACTGCATTCAGACACGCAAGATGCTGAATCATAAAAAAATTATCAAGGTAAAAGTTAACCAAGCTTAAGATGTTATATGAATAAAACTGTTAGGTCTTTGCTGGCCTGGTTAAAAGTGTTGTACAACATTCACCTTTAATGTTGCCTTAAATCCTCAACCTTACCATATATCTTCCCTGCTGAGATGAGGAAATTATAGCCCTCCAAACATTACTGAACTACAGTTCCCAGTAGCTTCAATCACCATGGCAAACTGGGAGGATACTGGGATTTGTAGGAAAGCAACATCTGGATGGCCACAGGTTCACCACTTTTGGACTAAATGAATACTTAGATTTCAGTATAATTAAATATCCCTGCTATTTCAGTAGAGCCTAAAACAGCATGGTCTTGTATATCCAGCCTTATGTCTCTTTGTCCTGTTGTTAGACATGTAGATAAAAGGGTCATGCAGCCTTTCAGATCCAGTCTCCGGAACACCTTCAGAGTACACAGGAGCATAAATATAGTACCTGTGTGCAACACCTTAAATCAGCCACGCTTTTTCCTGAGGACTGCACAGCTGCCTACCATGCCTACCGGGAAAAGATGCTGCTGTTTTAAGATGTTGCACACAAATGGTATGCTTATGTTTGAAAGCATTTTTTGGAGATCACAGAACCTTAGTAGATATTTGATAAACTAAAATGGTTAGCTTTTAAAGTTTTTTCTCTTCTAATCCTGAATAAAATAAATGAACTTACAAAATATTTTTCATCATTTATGTTAGTAATTAGTTCTGATTATGATTATATGCCATCAGGTCATTTTTGACTCCCTGCAACCACATAGATTCTCTCCATGATGGTCTATCCCTAACCTGGTCTTGATTAAAATATTTAAGCCACGTCTCATATCCACATACATAACTGCAGAAAGCAAACCATGTATATATGGTTGAAGTTTTGTTTCCACATGTTGCTATTTTTATTCCTAAAATCCTTGAAAAAAATTCTCTGACAGCATGCTAGTTACAGAAGATTTCTCTAAAATGGTGCTTTCTTTTTATCAAAAAAGAATATTGACAAAAGATATTTAAAAACAGAAGAATATAGTGGCAAACATTTAAAAAAAAAACTTTGTATCTCTTTTATATATATGCGTGTGCATAACTATAAGCCTACCCCAATTTTAAACACCCATATACATTATTTTACCTAAAAATACATTTGTAGAGATGAATGTAATCTGTTAGGAATTCATTATTGATATAATTTAGATTTTTCTTCTTTGACCATTTCCTGTAGGGGCCTTGCCTTATCACATAACCAATCTGGAGAAGAGAGTTGGTTGAAATCACTGTTTGTCCGAAAGGTTGATCCCAGGAAAGATGCTCACTCCAATCTCTTAGCCAAAAAGGAGACTAGCAGTCTTTATAAATTGCAATGTGAGCAACTATTTCTATATTTAATATTTCTCTATTAGAGTTTGTGTCTTTCTCTCAACATTTTAACATTGATGTTCAATGTTTCAGTTCACAATGTCAAACCGGAATGTCTAGAGTCCTACAACCAACTTTGGTAAGTCCAGATATCCGACTGGATGCTTTCAAGTCCAGATATCACACTAAATGCTTTGCAGATTCTAAATCTTACGCATACTTACTTAGGAGTTAATTTTATGAACTCAGTAAGACTTCTGAGTAAACATACATAGGGTTGGGCAAATAGTTCATCTTATACTCACTTGAAAGGAGCAAGAATAAGTTATCTTAGACTGAAAAATGGATAGCATTTGAACTCCTTATTGAAACAGTTCCCTGAAAAAAAAACTAACAAGCAGAGCTAGAAGAACCTTTTCCCCATATGCATTTTTGTGCATGCAGAGCTATTTTTGCATACTATAAGATGAGCTGTGAAACATGCAGTCCACTATGTTCAGGGTTCTACCACCTCATTCTGCTGAATATGAAAAAGAGGCCATAATTATGCTATTAAATACTGAGAAATATCCACCGATTAACTATGCAGAAATGCTCTTGTAAGTGCTCCTCTTAAAAGCAATAACAGTGCAGATTTTCCTTTGTCAGGGCACATCTAGAGTGCCAACGTCTGGTGATTTTAAAGTATCTAGATTCTCACAAAGATCCTTAGCCATTAATGTTTTGTGAACATGCTGTGGAGAGATCTCGTAGAGGTCTTCCACCACATAATGAAAATGCAATTTCCAGGAGTCCAAGGGGAGATTCCATCAAATACTGATAGAAGGTAAAAGCACTTGGTGACAATCAACAGTCACCAGTAAATGCATTAGGAGAAAGTGAAGTCCATAACATATGCATTCCTTTTGTTTTTGTTTTTATTAGTCAAAGTGTTCTGCCAAAGATCCATGAAGGGAAGGAGTATCCATGTACAATGGTGGGGACATGGAACACGTGGTACGGAGAGCAAGATCAGGCTGGTAGGAGACAAGACGTAGAGCAGAGTGCGAAATTATGCCAATGATGCGTGTTTGCAGCAGATGTTTTGTTCCAGTCTGGATGTGAAGTTGCAAAGGGTGGGCAAGAACTGGGCACGGAAAAGCAACCAGCATCCCACCACAGTACAAAGTATGTTAACAGGGGGCTGGTTACAGGGAGCTGATTAGACTCAAGATCTGCAAGGTCTAAGAAAGAGCAAACACTGACCCAATAAAATTCAAATGCTGTATGGAATACTTATATCTGATGCAGCAGGGTGCCAGCGGGAACCACCCTATGTATCTCCTACAAGAGAAGAGAACTTAAATATGTGTCTTTTGATTTCAGTCCATCTCTGGCGATATGAGGGCGGCTATCCAGCCCTTACAGAAGTCATGAGTAAACTTCGAGATGATAAGGTAAGATCAGGTGATCTCTATCAATACATTCTGATGTTTCTGGTAAGGTCTGATCTGGGGTTTCCCTTCCTCTCATGAAGAGAAGGTATCTTGCTCCTTGTCCCCCTCCCCCCCCCCCCCCA